CACTTATAATGATAAATGGAACAAAACTCTCTCTCTCTCTCTCTCTCTCTCTCTCTCTCTCTCTCTCTCTCTCTCTCTCTGTGGTAGCCCGCCCCTCTCCTCTCTCCATCTTTCTCTCTCTCTCTCTCTCTCTCTCTCTCTCTCTCTCTCTCTCTCTCTCTCTCTCTCTCTTGTGCGAGCTCTCGGTCTCATTGCTTTGGCTACCTTAGGGTTGTGTTCCCCACGCCCACGCGGTAGACAATAGTTCGCAGCCCTAAGACTGCGGTACAGTGGGCTTCGGCGTCAGTCTCAAGGTGTCGCCTTTTCGGCGGCGGGCGACCAGAATGCAAAGTTGGTTCTTAGGGGGCAAAAACAGTTGGGGGACCGGTCCTTGGCAAAATTGCGGACTACCTACAGCTAGCTCTGGTAGGACCGGGACTTTTGGAAAAAGGAAGGACTGGTCATCGAGTGGAAGCAGACCCCCAAACGAAGTAGGGGATGTTGGACTGGTCCTCAGCGAAAGCGGACCCCAAAAAGAAGTGAGGGTATGCTAACTGCGAAAAGGCCCTCAGGCCCAGGCGCTGTCGAGCGCATTGGTCCGGCACCGCACAAGACAGCGCGGGACCCTCCCGGCCGCGTGACTCAGGAGTTGGTCTTAATCCTCGTCGTAAATACATATGGAGCTTCCGCAAGCCGCTCCGGCAGAGTGCCCCAGCCATACCTCTCGCGAGTCCCTACGACAGAATAGGGTCTACACGAGGCACGACTTACCTCCACCTTACGGGAGTTGTCACCTCCCTTCGCTGGGCGTATCCCCGTCGAGCTACAAGTCCGCAGTACGAAAGCTAATCAACTGCAATCGCAGAGGTGGACCAGCCGAGGGCGTGCTCGCCCACTCACTATTTTGTTTTTTTTTCACTTTTAACTTTTTGTTTTCACTTTATTTCGGGCCTAAAAAAAATTATTATTTTTTAAACAATTTTTAATGAGTTATTGATTATGTAAACTACATATCTGTAAATTTTCAGAGCATTTGTCAATGCCAAATAAAATTAAAAATCGACAAAGATGGCAGTGTCAAAAAGGTGCTGGCACACTCACTCATTTTAATTCTCTTTTTATTTTTTCTTATTTTTACCATAGTGTTTATTTTCTGTATTTGATTTTTAATTCAAATTTGGTAAAAAAATTCAGTAACCCTGGATGCTAATTCACGGAAAACTAAACGAGAAACACGAAATAATTTATACACGGAACGAGATCGTCCTGTCAAAATACATCGATTTCTCACTCGTGGCGCAGAAAGTTTGAACAAAAAGAAACTGAAAAAGAGATAAGTCTTCTTGCCTTTATCATTAGCATGGGTATATATATATATATATATGTTTGTGACGATATATATATATATATATATATAGCCCCTCGTTTGTTGTCCTCTTCTCTCTCTCTGCCTACGGTTTACCGGACAGTTCTGTTTGTGACAATATATATATATATATATATATATATATATATATAGGGTAATCGGCGTTCGGGACGGGCCGAACGCCCGAACCGGAACACCGGAACGTATGGGACCCCTTGGGGATGCATTCGGCCGTTCGGGCCGAACGCGGACCCCAAAAAAAAAAAAAAAAAAAAAGTCATTAAACAAATCTGAAAAAACGATATGTTATGGAGAAAAATAAATTAAACAAGATTTGCCCGAGCATTACATCCAAATTCCTTACCAAATTTGGAATAAAAATAAAATACAAAAAATAAATACTAATAATAAAAATAAATAAAAATAAAAAGAGAATTGAATTTAGTGCGTGCGCGAGCATGTTTTCGACACCGCCATCTTTTGCGATTTTTCATTTCTTTTGGCACATTGAAATGCCCTGAAAATTTATAGATGTGTATTTCACATAATACAAAACCCACTAAAAAAAATTCAAAAAATAATAAAATTGTTTAGACCCCGAACTAAAGTGAAAACAAAAAGTAAAAAGTGAAAACATATGTGGGCGAGCACGTTTTGACACCGCCATCTTTGACGATTTGTAATTCTTATTTGGCTCAGTCAAATGAGTTCAAAATTTACAGGCATGTACCTCACGTCATACAAAACTCACAAAAAAAAAAAATGAAAAAAATAATTATTTTTAGGCCCCGAAATAATTTTTGGCGGGGGCTGAACGTCGTCGGGTTCGGACCCGGTACGGGACCCCAAATGCCCGTACGTATGGAGGTCTGCCCCGGGACTTCCGTACGTACGGGCTGGTGATCCTGTATATATATATATATATATATATATATATATATTACCTGACCGAACGTTTGTGGGCCCCCAGGCTGGCCCCCGAACGTTCGGGCGTTCGGGGTCCCGTTTGGGGGCCAAAAACCTCCAGGTTTGGCCCCCGCCAAAAAACATTTCGGGTCCTAAAAATAAGTTTTTTTTTCTGAATTTTTTCTTGTGAGTTCTCTATGATGTAACCCACACGCCTACAACTTTTGAAGTCATTCTGCTAAGCCAAAAAATCATTAAAAATCGTCAACGATGGGGGTGTCAAAACGTGCTCGCCCACTCACTATTTTTTTTTTTTTCACTTTTAACTTTTTGTTTTCATTTATTTTGGGGCTTAAAGAATTTTATTATTTTTTGAAAACTTTTTAATGAGTTATTGATTATGTAAACTACATATCTGTAAATTTTCAGGGCATTTGTCAGTGCCAAAAAAAATAAAAAATCGGCAAAGATGGCGGTGTCGAAAAAGTGATGGCACACTCACGCATTTTAATTCTCTTTTTATTTTTTCTTATTTTTATCACAGTGTTTGTTATTTTTTCACTTTTTACTTTTTGTTTTCACTTTAGTTC